TTCATTAGACTTGATCTTATAAATCCACTTAGTCCCTATAATAACTCTATTAGGAGGTCTGGGTACCAACTCCCACACATTAGCTCGTTCAAACTGACCCATTTCTTCATTCATAGCTGCATTCCAGTTTTCATCATTCAAGGCATCTAACACGTTTTTAGGTTCAACCAATGACACAAAAGCAGTATGCACAATTGAATTTTTTGAGCGAGTGATCATACCTTCATTTAGCCCTCCTATCATAAGTGAAGAAGGATGACGTTTAGCAATATGTGGAGGAGGTTGCCTTACATCATGGTCTTCCTCGATCGGAGAGTTAGTAGTACTTACTGCTTTATCTTGGTCTTCAGATATGATTGTTCTGGGTTCAGATTTCTCCGTGTTTGATGTCCTTGGTAGATCATAGCTCCCACCAAGTCCAAAATCATCATCATCTATCTCATCTGAACACTCATTAGCAGATTCATCAAATATCACATTTATGGACTCTTCCACTTTGAGAGTCCTTTTGTTGAAAATTCTATATGCTCTGCTAGTCATGGAATAGCCTAAGAAAACACATTCATCGGACTTGGCATCAAACTTCCCAAGATGATCTTTGGTGTTTAATGCAAAGCACTTGCAACCAAAGGGATGGAAGTAACTCAGATTGGGTTTTCTTCCTCTCCAAATCTCATAAGGAGTCTTCTTAATACCGGATCTGATCAAAGCTCGATTAGTAACATAGCATGCAGTGTTTATGGCTTCAGCCCAGAAGTACTTAGGCAAACCATAGTCATGTAACATTGTTCGAGCTATGTCAATCAAAGTCCGATTTTTCCTTTCCACCACTCCATTTTGTTGCGGAGTTCGAGGAGTAGAAAAATTGTGGCTTATTCCTAGCTTATTGCAAAAGAGTTCAAACTCTTCTGAGATAAATTCTCCACCATGATCACTTCTAATGCTAGCAACCTTAGATTGCTTTTCATTTTCCAATTTCCTAGTTAGAGACTCAAAGTTTTGAAAAGCTTCACTTTTGCTAGCTAGAAACAATACCCAAGTGAACCGAGAATAATCATCCACAATTACCACATTGGTAGGTCCGAAGAGATCCAGGTGAAGTAGTTCAAGTGGTCTCGATGTAGATATAACCGGCTTACTCTTGAAGCTCGACCTTGTATGCTTTCCTTTAGCACAAGCATCACAAAAGAATTCCTTTTTGCCTTTTAACTTAGGCAGACCTCTAACTAGCTCAAGATCACTTAGTTTAGACAGAATCCCTATACTCACATGTCCAAGCTTCCTATGCCAATCTATTTGATCATTTTTCTCTAAAGACATTAGACAAGTTGCCTTAAAACTTTCTTTATCATCTAGATTTATGACATATAACTTATTCTTACGTCTACCGGTGAAAAGCACTTTCTTATCCACCAAAGACTCGATGTAGCAACAGTCATGTTCAAACATTATCCTCTTATCTTTGCCACACATTTGACTGATCGAAAACAGATTATGCTTAAGACCTTTTACTAACATCACATTTTCAATGCATGGATCTGAACCAACTGTTCCTCTTCCTATTATGTCGGCAGAATTATTGTCACCAAAAAATACCTTACCACCTTTACCTTCTCTGAGAGTGGTGAATAGGTTTCGATTTCCCGTCATGTGGTGTGAGCATCCGCTGTCTAGTATCCATTCAGTTGCCTCCATGCTCACTTGGAAGCAAACCTGCGCCATTAGCAGTCATGCAGTTTTGGGTTTTTGTATCCAGACTTTCTTGGATACAGTTTGTTTGTGATCTTTAAGAGAACAAAATCTACTAATGTGACCGACTTGATGACATGTAAAACAAGTTCTACATTTTTCATTTTGTATTCTCTTTCTACATACTCTCCTAATATGCCCAAATTTATGACAATAAAAGCATTCTATGTTTCTAAATTTTTGTTTTGAAGTTCCATTCCTCTCATGCTTTATTGATTCTTCAAAAATCTTCGATTTACCTTTACTGTATGAATTTGATCCTAATTTTTCGCAACATCCCTTAGTGGAATGATTTAGGTAAGACTTACCTTCCTTTTTTAGAGATTCAGTCTTATTCCCTTCTAATGATACTTGAAGTTGGGCCGTGAGACTCGATTTCTCATTTTCTAAAACTTCAACTTTCATAGTAGTTTCATCTAACTCTTCTTTTAATCTGATCACCTCCTTCTTTAGTTCATCATTTTCAATGTTTATTTTGACATAATCAGATTTCAATTTAGAGTATTTTACTTTAACATTTCCAAACTCTAACTGAATTTCCTTAATAGTGGATACTAATAGATCATCATCACTATAGTAATCACTATCACTGAATTGAGTATGGTTGGAAGGTTTTACCTCTTTTGAGTTATGTCTTTCTGATGGTTCTTCAACATCAATTGCCATGTAGCTTTCTTCCCTTGTTTCCTCTCCATCCTCATCTTCTTCCTCGCTACAGCTCCATGTTGCAGCCATGGCTCGTTCTTTTTTTGCTAGAGGGCATTCAGCCTTGATATGCCCAGTTTTTCCACATCTAAAGCATCCGGTAGTGTTTTGAACTTTAACCGGCTGAAATTGTTCAGTCCTGTTTTTGTGGAAAGTTCTTGATTGAGGATATTTTGATGTACCACCTTCTTTCTCACCTTCTCTATTCTTGTTGATGAAGTTTCCTCTTCGTTTTTCTCTTCTCACTCGAAGTAGTCTACTAATTTGTTTGCTTAGTAGAGCCAATTCTTCATCCTCCATATCATCGAGATCTTCTGTGTCTTCATTGTATGTGGTAGCCTTGAAGGCTATCCCCTTTTTTCCTTTATCATTATTTCCCTTGTTGAGCTTGTCTTCATGAGTTGCTAATGACCCGATGAGTTCATCAATAGCTAACTTCTCTAGGTCTTTAGCTTCCTCTATTGCAGTTACCTTTGGAGTCCATTGCTCTGGGAGACTCCATAGGATTTTTCGAACAAGATCTCCACTTTCATATGATTTCCCAAGATTCTCCAGACAGTTCACAATGTTTGTGAAGCGCTCGTACATTTGCCGGATCGTTTCTCCTTCTTCCATTTTGAACAACTCGAATTGCTGTTTTAAGGAATTAATTCGAGATGTTTTGACTTGAGAGGTACCTTCATAAGTAACCTGGAGTTTATCCCAAATTTCCTTAGCAGTCTTGCAACCGGCAACTTTGTGATATTCTTCTGGACCGAGTGCACAATACATGAGATTAGTTGCCTTGCAGTTTTGCTGAAATTTCTCAAAGTCCTCGTCTGTCCATTTTTCTTGATCCTCCTTGAGCTCATACGGACCCTTGATTACTCTAGCCCAGAGTTTTGGATCTGTGGATCCAACAAATAATTCCATACGATTTTTCCAATATCCATAATTAACTCCTTCAAACCTGGGAGGCCGATTTTGAAAGAATCCGTCAGCCAAATAGAGTGGAGCATTATTCTTGGAATCCGACGCCATTTCGATTTGCACCGGAGGTCGTTGAACCTTGTTCTACGGTAACCAGGCTCTGATACCACGTGTTGGTTGCGTCGAGCGCGAGACTTTATACCTGTCTTTCAAAACACTTAAACACAAATAAGCTCAATAATTAAATATTACTCAATTGAAATTAAAAGACTCCCTGAATAGTTAATCACCTAGAGCACTTAATCTAACTCCTTAGCTTAGTACTGGTTGAGACCTGTTACTTAAGCTATTGGCTAACTCTTAACCTGCAAGCCTAATGACAAATCCGACTGGGCTTCTAAGCCCAACTAATTAAATCTGGCGGATGAGGTGTATCAGACAACCCCAGCCCAACAAACAGTCGACCCGGACCAATCACTAAGTGACCAGACTAATACGACCGTGGATTGAATTCCAACTACAGCTTCCCTCCCACTTTCCACTTCGATCCAGAAGCAGACCAGCTTCTTTTCGAACCAAGAACAGGGGACGAACAGAATGAACACAATAATAAAACCCAGACAAAGCAATGAACCCAGGAAAGCCAAAACTCAGCTTCACAAATTTCTCAACCGTGTCTAGGGATGTCGCCTTCCCTAACTACTCTTGGAACGAGTTCTGTAGCACGATCTGTCCTGAAACAGAAAACAAACAGAGGCACACACAGACTGGAAATGAAAAGCAGGAACTAGACACGCGATTTTTACGTGGTTTCCAGTATTGGGAGAATGAGGATCCCAATACTGACTACTCCACGGTCAGAGAATCACGGTTGTGTGATCTCTGACGATTCACTATGATATAGCGTTGACGTTCTTCGTTACAAGCAATCTACCCAAGAGCCCTTTGATCAATCTCTACCCGATTGATCTAACTCTCTTTTCTCAAACCCGAATTGCTTCCCCAGCAACTCGAAACCTGTGTTTCCCCAACACTAACCCTCAAAGCAATTCTCCCCGAACCCTTTGAGAAACCCCTTTCCTATCACTCTAGCTATTCTCCCAAAATCCCCTTTTGACTTAGCTAGTTTTGATCTCTTGAAAGGTTGATTTTGCTCTTCCTTCAAATCGCCTTTTATAGGCTGCAATGTAGCTGTTGAGAATTTGAATTCCCTTGAAATCTTCAAGTATGGCAAGTTTCTTATTCTTTCTTCTTTTGACCCAAAATCTTGCCTTAACTGCTTTTGGGACAGCCATTGATTTTTCACCTTGATTTGATTATTGTCTTGGTCATCAACCGGGATGCTCGTTCTGATCTGCGAGCTCAGCATGTCCTGCGTCGCCCCATCTTGTGGCTTGGACCCCGCAAACTTGCCAAAGTTCAAGGGGGAGACAAAGCTGCCAATAGGGCGGGCATGGGTACTCTCATCGACCCGACATGCCCTGACCCGCCCCATTCTCGACCCGTTCTTGCTCAAATTACATATAATCATACAAATTACTTAGGAGTTTCCTTTTATTACATCATATTTTAGCTATAATAAAGTTGTAAATTAGTGAAAACCTCAATTTTCCAACTATTTAACCACATTTATCGTAATATGATTTATTTTCTTGGTCTTATAATGAAATTAACAAATATTTATAATATTTTCTATATAATTTGTATACCCATTGGGCCGACCTGACCCGACCCGACCCGCGACCCAAGATAAATTACCCGACCTGCCATGGGGTGGGTGTGGGTATCATGATACCCGCCTCGGACCTGCTCCATTGCCATTCCTACTCAGGTCTTACGTCATACAGAGGAAGAAAGAAAGAAACATAACCTATACTTCATTCGCTCTTAAAAGTCCATCTCATGAATCATGGCGGGATGGATCTCCCCAGCATAAATGAGGACGAATCATGCAAAAAAATTCATCAGCCAAAATAAAATGGCCATGACAGGAACTTAAACACACAATTGTATCAAACAAAAGCCACCGGAGTAATACAAGGAAAACCAACTGATTCCCACAATGAAGTTTTGCACCCTGGTCCAGGGCCTTGTAACCATCAGAGAACTCCGCCTGCAACCGAACATTCGTCCATCCATATGCTCCTTCAATCAGAATATGTGCACAATGTCGTATGCAAATCTGTTATGATGTCAAGGAACAATACAATTTGGTCCAATATGCTGCTTTCCAACAAATGAAAATATGACATGACAGAGAAGTCTATAGTTGGTAACCAACAATTGAATGTCAACTGTTGTTGTAGAGAATATTGCTTGGTTAACTAGCATGCAATGCTTTTGCCAATGCTTTTTAATTTTTTATACATTAATTCCCATGCTGGGTTTAACTAGCATGTCAGGCCTATGATGTAATGATGATGATAATTCTCTTGATCATACGGGCATCTGTTTCATTACCAAGTTGAGAAGCCTTCCAGCTATCAATTACTGAATAAGAAACCATATTTCAAAAGCGTGAAGGATACGTCCAGAAAAGCACGAAAGACTGCATAGAAAAACAAAAACAAAATGTCAAGCTAAAGAAATTATAGAAAGCCAGGACCAATTTATTGGCCATTCGTGCAGCTCTAAGATAATAACGAAACATATGCAGATATGGGACGATCTATTCTGACTTTCCTTATTGACAAAGAAGTTTGTTGGTATAGGTCTCTACAGATATCGGTTTACTATTCCATGAATCTCTTCAACGCTCTAACAACTGAACCTAGAGTACGATGCACCATGCAGATATAACAGTGAATAATCCATGGTAACTACTGGGTCGTTTGGAAGTTGCGAATGTTAAATCGTTGCATTGTAATGAACCATCATAATATAAATGCATGTATTGATACAATAGATGTATTTTAACAATACATTGTTTGGTTGTTGAGATTCTATTTTATGCATTGATTTCCATAAAGTTACTTTATGGGGAAATGTCACATTTACCCTCAACTTTTAGAATAAGACAAAACTATTAAGGATATAAATGGAAAGAAAAGGTTGACACAAATCTAAAACCAACAATCACAACAATCTCAACTTTTAGTTGAGATTGTATAATGCATCATTTTTTGTGATTGTTGGTGGGACCTACCTAAAACAATGAATGCATTGTTTCACTTTGACACTTCCAAACATTGTATTGTACATAATACATGTATTCAACAATTACAACTCTAACAATCACAACTTCCAAACGACCCCGACATCTTATGGAGGTCAATTTCTTATGTGTGGGGCAAACCAAGATCAGAAAAATCCACTTCTAAGATCTCATTTCTGGAAAAAAGAAAGAAAAAGACTGGTCACAAGATGTAAATAGTGACAAACTACGAGAAACATACCATAAGCCCACCAAAGAAGCCATCAAGCAGAACTCGGTTCCAAGTATCAAAGTAGGAGTGAATGGAGAACTTTGCCTTGGCTGTGAGTGCAGCAGAAGTTACAGCCATGACAAGGAAGTAGAAAACAAATCCTATCAATCCCTTGAATCCAAGAATTCCAGCAATTACACCACCAATGATTGACAGAAATGTCCGACTGAAGAAAAAAAAAAAAAAGAGAACATAATAAATACATAGATACTGACAGAAAATAATTTTAGCCTATGAACAAAAAGTCCATTCCACCACCTAGCTACCACCACCTAGTCTTTGCCCAAAAGTATATAAGCCATTTCTGTATGTTCACGAAATTAACATAGGTTCATCTTGAAACATCTCATTACGCGAACACAATGTCTCGAAGATACTTTTCTTAGCCTGGAGCACTAATTCACACTAGAGACACTCAGTTTGGGGGCAGAATATTCATGGGATGAAATCATAGACATAATAGGCAATATAATTAATACTAAGCCCTCGAATCCAAGAACCAGCAATTGCACCACCAATGATTGACAAAATGGTCAAATGCCCAAAAGTAACATGCCATATACACCAACCAGGACAGATATAATCCTGGTCCTGACTGCAAGACACTATCTGTTCATTCAACACTTTTAGTATTTCTCAACAATTATCTGATTCAGTTCTGTAAATCTGTCTCACCAAAAGGAGTTGCATCACACCATCAAGCAATCCTTTGTCTGAAACTGGATTTTGCAGTAAGAAATGGAAGTAGCAACGATAATGAAATTATATCAACAGTAAGGAAATAGCTAATTCTATCAAGCCCTGGAATCCCAGAATTCCAGCAATGTCACTACCACCGATGGCTGACAGAAATGTTCAAAGGCACAAAAGCGACCTGTCAGATTCATGAGTACAGGCAGAAATAGAATTCTAACCCTGGTGCAAATGTGTAAGACACTCGCACTTCATTCCACACCTTGTCTGATAGCCTATTAGTATTTCACAAACTCATCTGATCTAGTTTGGTAAACTCATCTTACTCGTCAGAGCTTCAGCGTGAGAAAATCAATTATGTGGTTCGACATTTTCTCAGGCTACATTTACTCATTTAGCATAACGAGACACATTTTAAGAGCAGAGCTTTCATGGCAACATCAAGACAACGTCCAGAGCCCACAAAGCTCATAAACACGAGAGTACTGCATTAAGTAGGCTACCAGAACGAACCTGTAATAAATAACTTTCATGTTACTTTGCAAGTTCTCGGCATTGAAAGTTTGCAAGTCAGTCAAAGCATCAGTCGATTTCTTGTCCGACGAACTCGAGTCACCGTGTCCAACAGCCATATCCTCTGATTCCTATATATTCCAGTAAGCTGACTAAGGTGGAACCTAAACAAGTTATCAGGGCAAAAGTTAATAATCATCACTGATCTTACTCTCAATTATTTCTCCGAGAAAGCAGTGCTCAAAGGAACGAAGCAGCAAAGAATTTCGAAGCACCAGAATAACTGATCTTAAACCGCGACGAACAATTACCTTGAAGCGCAAGAGCAATCGACTCGCTCGAAATTGCCTCCTCACAACGATTCCGGCAATCAACGGACTTCTACAGCTCATCGGAGAAGAAAGCAACAAAGTTAGTCCACGGAATGACCAAATAGCGCGAGAGAAGAAACGAAAACTGAACTAATCGGAGATCTCGACGGAACAAACAGAATCTCAGCCTAGCGTAACTCGTCAACCATAAACACATCCGACTAGCAATTACTATTATAACAAGCGAATCGCCGGAAGAAAGAAGCAACTAAGGAGGAGAGTCGAGAAGCACATTACCGCCGGCGACAGAGACTCTTTTGCTCTTCTTCGCTCGGATGGAGAGAAACTACGTTGCTCAATTTGTTCGGAGTTCTCTGAGCTGCCGGAGTGAATTTATATCTTCCATAAATTCCAGTTAACTCCCTAATTATTTTTGTACTTACCAAGAGCAGCTTCTATTTGTCCTTTTTGTTACTAGCTCGTACTTCGTAGACTAGAAGTTACGTTCGGCCAATTAAAACGACACCGGAGTCTTGCCTTCCCGCCTCCGGGGGTAAACAAGAGGAACAAAGAGAAACTAGTTTCTCCCAGTTCTGAGCTCGCCATTGTTATATTTTCCTTTTCCTGCTGTTCGAGGAATAAAAGGAATGGACACAGAAAGGCGCCGGAGTTTGGTGTGCCAGTGGGATCGGCTTTCGCGAGAGAAGGTATGTCTTCCCTTTGCGATTATGACGAGTTTTGAGTTCATCGTTTGCTGAATTAGAGAACGTAGCTGCTTGGTTGAGTAGGGTTCTGAACTTTCTGGGTTCTGGCTTTTTTGAGATGTATCTAAAAGAAGGGCGTTCATTGTTATTGAGCTTGAGAAACAGCAGGAAATCACTCCCCTTTGTTCTGAACACGAACCCACATCTTAATCTCGATCCCCAAAACGAAAGAAGTCATCCTATTCTCAAAGAATCCCAGGTATTGACCAGGTTAGAGAATGAGCCCAGCATTTCAATAGCTCTAGACTACTTCAAGTCGATTGCCAATTCAAAATCCTTCAAACATACCGTGCTAACCTACAGAACCATGATTCGGAGGCTCGGTGATGAAGGCAATGTTGATGGCATTCAGTACCTTCTTCATCAGATGAAATTAGAAGGACTTCATTGTAATCCCGACTTGTTTGTGAACGTGATAAACAGTTTTGTGAAAGTGGGGTTATCTGAACAGGCGTTGAAGTTGTTCTATAGGATCGACGAATTCGGTTGCAAGCCGACTGTCAAGATGTATAATCTCCTTTTGGATGCATTGCTTAGTGAGAATAGGTTTGAGATGGTCAGTTCCACATACAGGATTATGAAGGCGGATAGAGTGGAACCAAATGTTTATACTTACAACATTCTCTTGAAAGCTATGTGTAAGAATAATCGGGTGGATGCTGCTCGGAAGTTGCTCTTGCAAATGCCGGATAAGGGTTGTGACCCTGATGTTGTTAGCTATACTACTGTAATATCATGTATGTGTAATCTTGGGAAGGTGGATGAAGCTAAAGAGCTTTCAACTAGATTTCAACCTTCCGTGCCTATGTATAATGCTCTGATCAATGGCTTCTGTAAGGAGGAAAGAATTCAGGAGGCGATGAAGTTGTTAAACCAAATGGTGGAGGATGGAGTTCCCCCAAATGTCATAACTTACTCGACAGTTATAAGCTCACTTGCAGACAGAGGGAATGTTGAGCTAGCTCTAGCTGTGTTTTGTAAGATGTTTGTACGGAATTGTACCCCGAATCTCCACACATTTTCTTCATTGATTAAGGGGTATTTTGCTTACGGGAGATGTCATGGAGCACTCGATGTTTGGAATCGGATGATTAGTGAAGGATTTGAGCCTAACTTTGTAGTGTACAACACACTTCTCCATGGTCTCGCCTCCCGTGGAAGGATGGAAGAAGCCATATCGGTGTTCAACACAATGGGGAGATATGGATGGTCGGCCAACATTACTACCTACGGAACTCTCATAGATGGCTTTGCTAAATCAGGCGATCTTATTGGCTCATCCGAGACATGGAACAAGATGATCAACTCGGGTTGTGTTCCTAATGTTGTTGTCTATACTTCGATGGTGGATGCTCTCTGTAGAAACTCCATGTTCAACGAAGCACATTGCCTTATAGAAAGCATGGCAGCTGAGAACTGCCTTCCAAACACAGTCACATTCAATGTGTTCATCAAACATTTGGCTTGCAGAGGAAGGACAGAATGGGCTGTGAGGGTCCTCGATGGAATGGGGCGATACGGGTGCTCGCCTAACGCCACGACTTACAATGAACTGCTCGTAGGTGTTCTCAAATCAGAAGGAGTAAAACAAGGTATCGATCTTTTTAAAGAGATGGAAGAAAGGGGGATTATGCCGAACTTACTCACTTATAACTCCATTCTGCATTCGGTTTCTCGTGCTGGAATGGTTGATATCGCTCTGCAGCTTATTGGGAAGATGGTGGTTTTAGGCAATAAGCCTGATGCTTTTACATTTAATATGGTCATTGATGCTTATTCTAGGCAAGGGAATGTTGACACCGCAATCCGGGTAATGGAAGGGTTGAGTTCTGGAGGTAAGTGGTCTCCTGACAGTGTTGCTTACACTAACATTCTATGGGGGATCTGTAATGAGTTCGGGGTAGAGAAGGCCAGCTCTGGTTTGGAAAAGATGGTTGAAAGTGGCGTCTTCCCTAATGTCGCCACATGGAATGTCTTGGTCAGGGGATTGTTCACTAGCTTAGATCATGTAGGATCAGTTTCTTTGTTTGGTGATATCATATCTGATAATGGCTAGAGACATCAGTCACCGAAAGTTAGTTGGGTGATAGAAATGGATTTGATTGAATGAGGTTCCTTGTTCAAGCTATAGTGTTTGGATATACTGCCCATGTGTTCATTGAAATAGCTGGTTGGAAGTTGTATATGAGTTGGGGTATTGAATAACCCACATCAGGACATTCCCTGTTCAATGTAAGTATGCTACTTTTGGTCAGCATCTAATGTTCAGATTTGGTGACGGTGACAATCATGGACTCGGTTCCACTGAGCAACCGTATGGCCTTGTTTGGAAACCGTAGATGTTTTCCGGTGACCGGATTCCTCACCGTCAATGGCCCTGTACTAGTATTCAGCGGTGTATTTATTAAAATCTCAGTAATCAGTTCGCTAATTGTCAGTGAAACTTAATGTTAAGATTAAAATTCAAAGCGCACCTTTATGATGATAATATTAATCAACGAGCAATCAAAATCCCAAATGGGAGATTTTCCCATTCATCCGCTAATTGACTTCCCCTAGTTAGGCCCTGTTAAGCTTAAATTCTCCATTTTTTCCCCCCGGTAATTATAGGCCTTCTTATTTAAGCACTGCCTTGAAAAACCCAGGATCCCAAAAAACTAGGAGCAACAGACCTGCTCCACTGATCCCTTTTACAAACGTAATCAAGAATCAAAAGTCTAACTATAAAAAAACTAGCAGACTACTGATCTGGGGGATCGCTCTAACCTCTATAAGAAAATGAACATTCCCCATAGCATAGAAATTGAAATCCTCAACTAACTGTTGTATAAGAAACCTGCAATCTCTTTTGCTGCTCTGGAATATACGCATGCAGCGTTCTTTCCAAATAATACTAAGACACCAGCACCACATTGCACTCTTCACCAGGCCCTTACCTCCTTGCTTGGCTGTTCTGCATATCCATTTCAGTAGGTCTTCCCACGAGCTTGGCCAAGGACTCACGCCAAAAATGGCTGCGAAAACCTGCAGATATTAGGGACATGTGCAGAACAGATGGGTTCTGCTCTCCTCTTCTCCATCACACAACACACATAATGAATTAATTACTTTCCCCCATTGCCTCAGTTTATCCAAAGTATTAATTCTGTTCTTAGGAATCACAAACTTGTTCCAGATCACCCGCCACCATTCAACTTTCGGATGTTTGGGTCTAGTAGAATTCCATACCTGCTGGATGGAAAAGCGAGCCATTACCTTCCCTTCCCAAGTCACTTCTCCTGCTGAAGTGGTAGCAAACCTGTACTGGAACCATCCACGATTAGCCAAGAGTCTCCGCCAAATCCATGACCCTGTCTGTGAGGAAGACAGGTCCCAAATTGATCTTCCCCTCAGCCTGTATCGCTGAATCCATGCTACCCAGAAGCTTCCACTTTTCATCAGTAATATCCATAACAGCCTCGCAATACATGCCACATTCCAACTACCTAAATCTCTTAGTCCCATTCCTCCTTCTTTCTTTGGAACTGCCACTGAATCCCACGCCAGTTTAGCTCGACCAGTCCCCACACCAAACCACAGAAAATCTGAGCAAATCTTATGAATTTGATCTAGTACCTTCTTTGGTAAGACAAAGATGTTCATCCAAAATTGAACCAAAGAATAGAGTACCGATGAAATGAGTTGGAGCTTTCCTGCATATGAGAGCTTGTTAGCTCGCCACGACCTAATTCTAGCCGTGATTTTATCCACCAGCACCCCGCACTCCCTGCTTGTCAGCTGCCCCGCAATAAGTGGAAGGCCCAGATATCGAACGGGTAATTTCCCCTCAGTAAAACCAGATAAAGAGAGGGCATTCTCCTTAAATTGAGCAGCCATACCACCAAAAAACACCTCGCACTTCTTTGGGTTACAACTCAGACCAGCCAGCAAGCTGAACTTATTCAAAATTTCCTGAACCTTAAGCAATGCTACTGCAGACCCCTCAGTGAAGATCAATAGATCATCTGCAAAACACAGATGAGTGAGGTCTATTGATCTACACTGAGGGTGATATGGTATCTGTTTTGTCACTGCAGCATTATCCAACATTCCAGATAGGGGTTCAAGTGCAATAGCAAAGAGGTAGGGAGAGAGGTGATCTCCCTGCCTAACCCCTTTCTGAGCCTTGAAAAAACCAAACAAGGAACCATAGAGATTGATGCTAAAATAAGCTGAGCTAAGGCACACCCGAATCCAACCTATAAACTCAGTAGGGAATTTCATAGCAGACATCACACAGAATAGATATTCCCAATAAACAGAATCAAACGCCTTATGGAGATCTATCTTAATGGCACAGCGAGATGCTAATTTTTTCTTTGAGTAATTATGGACTATCTCCTGAGCCATCAAGATATTGTCCAAGATACTCCTCCCCTTGATGAAAGCAGACTGATTTTTACTTATAACCTCAGGTAAAGCTATCTGTATTCTGTTTGCTAGAATCTTTGCAATTATTTTGTATAACACATTGATGCATGCAATTGGTCTAAAAGAAATGAGTTTATCAGCATTAGGGATTTTTGGTGCTAAAGTAAGAGAGGCTGTGTTAATACCTCGTGGCAGCTGCTTTG